CTATCTATCCTTCTATCTAACTGTCTATCTATCTGCCTTTCTACCTCTCTATCTATATAACTGTCTATCCTTCTATCTAACTACCTATCTATCTATGTATCTATCTATCTATCTACCTATCTGTCTGTCTAACTTTCTATCTATCTATATATATATATATATCTGCCTATCTATCCTTCTACCTATCTATCTGTCCAACTTTCTATCCATCTATGTATCTATCCACCTATCTATCTATCTGTCTATCTATCTCTCCATCTGTCTATCTATTTTTCTTTGTATCAGTCGATCTATCTCCCTTGCATCTATCTATGTATCTATCCATATGTCTGTCTGTCTATCTATCTATCTCTCTATCTATCCTGCTATCTAACTGTCTATCTATCTATCTACCTATCTGTCTGTCTATCTACACATCTATCTATCTATCTATTTATCTCTCCCCCTATCCATCTATCTCTCTCTATATCTAACTTAATATCCATCTCTCTAAATATTTTTCTTTCTATGAAACTATCTCTCTATCTATCTATCTGTGCATCTATCTACGTATCTATCCATATGTCTGTCTGTCAAACTATCTATCTCTCTATCTATCTACTTATCTCACTATCTATGTATCTGTCTATGAATCTTTCTATGCAGCTCTCTATCTATATATCTATCTGTCGTCCTATCTATCCATCTATCTAACTATCATCCTGTCTGTCTGTCTATCTATCTCTGTAACTCTCTATCCTTCTATCTATTCACCTATATATATATATATATATATATATATATATATATATGTATATGTATATATATCTTTCTACCAAACTATCTATCTATCTGTCTAACTAACTTAACATTTATCTATCTATCTATCTATCTTTCTATCTATCTCTCTATCTATCCTTCTATATAACTCTCTATCTATCTATGTATCTGACTTTCTACCTCTCTATCTATATAACTGTCTATCTTTCTATCTAACTACCTATCTATCTTTGTATCTATCTATCTGTCTACCTATCTGTCTGTCTATCTTATTATCCATCTATCTATCTATCCACCCATCTATCTATCTGTCTATCTATCTATCCATCTATCTATTTTTCTTTGTATCAGTCTATCTATCTTCCTTTCCATCTATCCATATGTCTGTCTGTCTATCTCTCTATCTATCCTGCTATCTATCTATCTACCTATCTCTCTGTCTATCTCTCTATCTGTACATCTATCTATTTATCTCAGCCTATCCAACTATCTCTCTATATATCTAACTTACTATCCATCTATCTACCTATGTTTCTTTCTATCAAACTATCTCTCTATCTATCTATCTTTGCATCTATCTACTTATCTATCCATATGTCTGTCTGTCTAACTATCTATCTCTCTATCTATCTACCTATCTCTCTATCAATCTTTCTATGCAGCTATCTATCTATCTTTCTGTCCTTCTATCTATCTGTCTATGTAACTATCTCCCTATCTAGCTACCTTTCTATCTATCTGTCTATCTCTCTATCTATCTGTATATCTATCTACCTATCTATCTCTCTATCTTTTTATGTATCTGTCTATCTATCTCTCCGCCTATCTATCTATCTGTCTTTCTATTTAACTATCTGGCCATCTATCTATCTATTTTCCTTTGTGTCAAAATATCTATCTATCTTTCCATCTCTCTATGTATCTAGCCGTATGTCTGTCTGCCTATCTATGTATCTAACTGTCTATTCTTCTATCTATCCATCTATCTATCTATCTTTATACCAAAATATCCATGTAGCTATCTTACCATCTATCTATGTATCTATCTGTCAATCTATTTATTCTTCTATCTTTCTATTTCACTAACTATCTATCTATCTATCTATCTCTTTATCCATCTATCTATCCATCTGTCTATCTATCTCTGTATCTGTCTATATATCTATCTATCTCTTTATCTATCTAACGAACTATCTTTCCTCCTAACTATCTATCTATCTCTCTGTCTATTTATCTTTCTATCTATCGTTCTATCTCTCTATCTTTTTATCTATCTAACTATCTATCTGTCTTTCTATCTATCTGTCTATCTATCTATCTCTCTATCTATCTTTAAACTTATCTATCCACGTGTCAACGCATATAACTCTCCACGGTTATTTTCACCTATCTATGCACGTATCAATCCACCTATCAATCCACGTATCTTTCCACGTATCGAATCATCTATCCATCCACGTATATATGCACCAATCTTACCACGTTTCCATTCACGTATCTATCCGCGAATATGTCCACGGTTCTCTCCACGTGTCTTTCCACGTATTCATCCACGTATCTATCCAAGTATCCATTCACGTATCTATCCACCTATTTATTCACGTATCTCACCACGTATCTATCGACGTATCTTTCCACGTTTCTATCCACTTATCTGTGCACGGTTCTCTCCACGTATCTACCCACGTTTCAATCCACGTATCCATCCACGTATATATACACGTATCTAGCCACTTTTCTATCCACGTGTTCATCCACGTATCGATTCACGTACCTATTCCCGTATCCTACCACGTATCTATCCACGTATATATCCACGTATTCATCCACGTATCTGTCCACGTATGTAGCCACGTATATAACCACGTATTCATCCACGTATCTATCCACGGTTCAGTCCACGTATCCATCCACGTATCAACCCACGCATCAATCCACGTATCTATCCACGTTTCTATCCACCTCTATATACACGTATCTAGCCACGTTCCTATCCACGTATTCATCCACGTACCTATTCACGTATCCCACCACGTATCTATCCACGTATATAAGCACGTATTCATCCACGGTTCTCTCCACGTATCTATCCAAGTTTCAATCCACGTATCCATCCGCGTATATATACACGTATCTATCTACGTTTCTATCCACGTGTCTTTCCACGTATGTATCCACTTATCCATTCAGGTATCTATCCACGTATCCCACCACGTATCTATCCACGTATATACCCACGTGTTCATCCACGTATCTATCCACGTGTCCTTCCACGTATTCAACCACTTATCTATACATGTATCTATCCACTTATCTATGCATACAATTATCCATGCATTTGCAAGTGGCGGTAGTGGCTATTTTGGCACCTAGCTGTAGCCATTATTCGTCTGCATAGAGTATAATTCACCCCTGATTTTACCCTACGTTGGGAACTCCTGGAGAATGATACGAATGTATTACTTATTTGAAATGAATTCACCATGTGACTATAAATCAAGAATAAGATTCGATGCCGTACACAACAAAGTTATGTAGGAGGATTGGCTTCAGGCTTTATTTTCTCCCAAATACTTGTGACCCATTCGTTAGTGAGAAGACAATGCTCCTATATTCCCTAGTGTGCTCCATTCATTGACAGCAAATTTTTCATACAAAGTAAAGCCGAAAGGAAGAGAAACTATGTGTGTTCACCATAAACTAAATTTATGTAATTTAAATAATGCTTATACATCCATAGTGGATAAGATTTTATTTTGGTAAATCACACAGTGTTGTACAGTTATATTAACTGATGACGTTTCGAGCACAAACTATTGCTCATAATCATATGAAGTTACTCACACAACTTCTTTCCTTCATTTATATACATGTGTGGAATCGATTAGATATTGGAATAAAATTCAATATGAGATAATGTACATTCAGAAATAATAGTGCGAGTGTTATTAATCCATTACAATTAGATGGGAAATACGATGAGTGTTTTTATAGTCATAATAAGTTAATTGTTAGAATGTTTTGATGTGCTTGACTGGAATCAGAAGAGTATAATAAATAATCTTAAAATTCTATTTCAATTCAAACACATCAAAACATTCTAACAATTAACTTATTATGACTATAAAAACACTCATCGTATTTCCCATCTAATTGTAATGGATTAATAACACTCGCACTATTATTTCTGAATGTACATTATCTCATATTGAATTTTATTCCAATATCTAATCGATTCCACACATGTATATAAATGAAGGAAAGAAGTTGTGTGAGTAACTTCATATGATTATGAGCAATAGTTTGTGCTCGAAACGTCATCAGTTAATATAACTGTACAACACTGTGTGATTTACCAAAATAAAATCTTATCCATTATGGAGTTATACTCTACCACAGTGCCCAAGTTTTATACTTATATCAATGCTTATACATGCCTGTACAATTGGTATATTCCTACATAGACAGGATTAAATATATCGTTATTCCTTTTTTCAGCATCATTACAGCATTTTGCTCCCTTTTATTTATCTTTGTTCTTCAGAACATTATTTATAAGTAGTGAATATTACTGATGTACATTCGTCATCGAATCAGTTGATTTCCGTACACATTTGTAAATGCAATCCTTCATATTGGGTACTCTTGTATTCCCAAAATAATGTTACTAGCATGGCACCAACCAAAAATATGCCAACGTAACTTTGTTCCTACCAGCTCAGTGCCTTACAACTTTAAGGTACACTTTTATGTGGATACTGAAAGGACTTTTATGACTTGCATACAAATTCAACTATTTATTCTCTGTTCTGTTAAAATTTCTTGATTTTCTCCCTTGGAAATCGGCTTTTATTTGTTATTGTTTTGATTATAACTCGTACTAAATGTCTGTTACCTAACTCATCAAGAAAACCAACATTTACCACAGTAGCTATCAGTGGAATTTTAATGGTTTTGATCATGCCTTTGAGGGCGCTTTGGCTTTTTATGCAGATACATTCAATAACCGTGGATAATTCACGAAATCTGTCGACATTCTGTAGAAAAATGAACTGTTCTGTCTCTGATGTTTGTTACTTGGTTTAAAGAGATGCCTCCCAGATTTCCGTTCAATGGATATATATTATTTTCTACGCTCCGAACAGAACATTTGAATCGTTCTGCTTGCGATACTCCACAAATGACAACCCGAAAAACAGCCGTTTTATCTATTTTTTGTAAGTGAATAAACAACTTCATACCAGCAATAGAATACCCTTTGACTGACGTCCACAAAACAAGACAACGAAATTTGCACGCGATCCTACTGATATCAATGACATGCATCGGAATTATTATAATCTTGAAACGTTAGATTTCGAATAAACTGTGATGACCCCTGCACAGAGAACAAATTAACTCAAAGTAGGTTAGGCGACGGTAAAGAGACGCAAGATTTACAATGAACTGAATGAGAATCAAACTGAAGACTGATGCATGCAGCGACCTTTTGTCTATGTTAATATAATCAAACCTAGGAAAGCTATCTCCTACTAGATGGTCGGCATGTCCAACTCCCTTCTTAGGTCTTCTATGCTGCTGCAAGCCACATTCTATCTATCGGAGGTTCTGCGTGATAAGTCATCTCTCACTTACGTAGGTCTCAAATATTACAATTGATTATTCGGAGTTAAACACTGTATATTTCCTGCGTACTGATCCTCCCTGTCACTTCCCGATTCTCCGGCTTCGTGGAAACAGCCATTCATCAATTCTAGTACCAGTCATCGGTTCACGTCTAACTCACTAACTAAGGTTTTACAAGCTGATTTTTTACTTTTGTGAATAGCCCGATATATTGGCTCCATGTAACCCTGCCTCCCGTTGTTACGCGCGTTTTAGACAAATTCAAACAATAGTGGTGCCTTAGATTACATCATCGAAATTGTTCTAACTTATGTAAAGTGTGCTTACTTTCCGTTACTTTTCCTCGTATATATATCCTGTATCAGTGAAAAAATATAAATTGCCTAATCCATGTATATATTACTTATTATATTGATGATTCCTGTAAGCTGGAGTCCCTCATGTGAAAAAAGCTAGAACATATTACTATTAGTACTAATAAAAATAACCAACACGGGCTAGTACGAGTACTTTCAACACGAGGATTCTTTGAATGCAAAGAAATGCAGTTTGAAGCCGGAATGTAAGGGCGAGAAAACCATTCCATAGCCTCCCCAAGGTTTAACTTCACGTTTTGTGTTCAGAATTTTTCTAACTTAAGATTACCTTTTTGGTTAATTAAATAGAACAACATTAAAATTAATTTAAAAATGTTTTATCATCTGAAAGGAGATTGTCTTGTCAAAGCTCATAGTACAGCCTTATCGGGTAACCAACCAAATAAGTGAAGAATTGCAGCACCACTCGAACAATACTGATCTGAAAACTCATCCTTCTTAAATGTTTTGGGATATTGAAAAAGGCAAGTTGGAGATGTTCTGAGCACTTAAAGGTTTCTCTATGATATGATATTTCATAGTCTCCAAGACAGTAATGACTAAATCAGGTACAAATTGCGATCTGGTGATAACAACAAAATGTATGACTTAACAACATACAGAAGAGAAAGTCAAGTACAAAAGCACCAAGCTGGTACTTCATGAATAGCTGGGTAATTCAATTTGAAGGACTCTTCTTCACCTGAAGATGGATTGCAGCAGAAACTCTCTGTACGTTGCCCAACATGTCTTTCGTGAAGAACAATTTTACGCTTCTAGCCTAATGACTTTCTGGCAAATTTTTAATAGGACTAAATTTCCAAGCAATACTTTTTTCACTTCGAATAGACGCATCAGTATCAAGTCCAAAGTCACCATTAAATATTTTGTCACTAGCTTTATAACCGGTGGAAGTAAATATCTGTGAATGTTACCAAGTACTGTCAGTTAATATACTATACCACTGCTATGTCACCTGTCCTGTAGAATTCAGCACGCAGCTCGTGTCAAATCATGAAGTGACACAAACACTGCGTTCAAATAGCCTATTCCCTCAAAATCCCATATAGCATTCAGGGGTAGACAAATAAATTCGTCGTTTTATTTCTTTACTTTCTCTCCGTCTCTCTCCCGAAAACTCCAACTACTACGCTTACACTTATTATTATTGCTGATATTGTATACAAATATATTTGTTTATATATCTATACAGATATATCAACCTCAAATTTAATTGGCTGTCTGTTTTCTTTGTTTCTTTTTCTGTCTTTTAGTCTGAATAGCCTACACTAATTATATCTCTTATAATTATCGCTTTTCTTTTAACGATGATACCGGAGGACCAACTGGTGAAAGGATCAACCCCATTCACGCGCGCTCCTTGAATACGATGGGCTTTTTCCTCCCTAACCGGAAAATACCTATTTTGTGAATTGTCCGTTTGGGAAACCTGATCTTCCTAGCCGGTGAATTAAATTCAACCATTACTTGCACATTGAATCTCTGTGTGGTAAGTCTAGCTGTCTCGAACTACTGCTACTTTTGTAGCAGCATCTTCCTCACTCGTTCAGATAAACAAGACTTGTTGGTCTACCCGTCAGTACTCGAGTTGGGCCTTTATTCCCTGGTAGCGACCACAACACGGTCATTTCCACCTTTAACTTAGCAGCAAATGGGTCAGGCGAAGGCCGTCGTCGGACAATAAAAGTCAGAGACTTTTCAAAGGCTAAGTGGGAAACAACACGGTCTTTTATTCGTTGCCAAGACTGAGATACCTTTTTCTCCTCGGTAGACATTGACACTGTTCTTGACAGTTTCTACTCCAACATATTAGTTTGCTTCAACGAATCTATCCCTTGGTATACATCCAAACGCAACCGTGTAATATATTATATATATATATATATATATATTCCTTCACGTTCCCCAGTGGAACATAGGGCTTCAAGCTGGAGGCTTGAAGTTTCTGAAGCAGTGTTTATTTGTACGGGATGGGGTTGCTAGCCTCATGCCCAACCTCTCCTCTTTACCAGCATTATTTCTGGCTTAGCGAGGTACAGGAGTGCGGCGACTGGGGATCGAACCCGGACCATGTGCATGGTTGGAGAGCGTTCTAACCGCTATGCCACCGACGCACGCAACCGTGTAAATCAACTATATATACCGAATGCTACCAGGAACAAGCTAAGAAGACTCCCTAAAACCTATAATAAATCTATGGACTTCTCCTTGCTCATTAGCATCCTAAAGGTATATGATAAAATCAGATAAGATAATGCCAGTAAAATTTACAAAGAAGAACTTGTAGCCCTTAAAAGTAGTTGCAAAATTAGCTCTCTATGTAAACTCTTCCAAAAAAGACTGCAACAAAAACAAGGCAACATTCCTTACATTCTTCATAATAATGTTGCTGTTAAGGATGATGCAGGCATAGCTGAACTCTTTAACAAGCACTTTTCTGACTCATACACGCACGATGTTTCCTCATGCATCGAATTCGACTATGTAACAGAAAAAACACTGTCAAATATATGCTTGATTGTTGATGTTATAAAAAGTGCAATCAGTTCATTGAAATTCTCCAATACTCCTGGACCTGACTCTATTCCCTCATCCTTCCTAAAAAATGGTGGCTCTGATCTCCCTCTCCTTTTGCTTAAGATATTCTCAGCGTCCCTTGTGAATGGAGTTTATCCTTCCAAATGGAAGCATACATATATTATTCCTAGATTTAAATCCGGCTCGAAATATGATGTAAATAATTACAGGCCGATCAATATAACGTCTGTCTTGTCAAGGATACTTGAGAAGATAATCAGTACCAAAATCGCTGACTTCTTATTGACTGAAAACCTCATAACACCTTCTCAGCATGGTTTTATAAAGTCCAGGTCATGCATGACTTGCCACTTAGAACTATTCGATTTTATAACTGGACTAACAGACCAAAAATTCGTTGTGCTCATTATGTATATTGATCGTGAGAAGGCCTTCGATAAAGTATGTCATAAATTACTCCTGAAAAAACTTAAGACTTACTGTATATCTGGCAGTCTCTTACAGTGGTGTAATTCATTTGTGTGTGGTCGGTCCCAGTCTGTTAAGATTAACGACACTTTTTCCAGTACCACTCTTATATCAAGTGGCGTGATTCAAGGTAGTGTACTAGGACCTCTCTTCTTTCTTATATACCTAAATGACGTCTGTGATGTTATAAAGCATGGCAGACCTTTCTTATATGTCGACGACTTGAAGATAGTCTACCACAGTACCACCCAAGAAGTGACAAATCTGTCTCGTAAAATCCAATCGGATATTGATAATATTGAGACATGGTGTAAGTCGTGGATGATGCGGATCAACGTGTAGAAGTGTGGACTGTTATGCCTAGCTCGCTCACGTATCACACCACACATAATTATATACGACAAGCCTATCACTATCTTTCCTTCTGTACTTGACCTTGGGCTTCGTTACTCCGCTGACTTTAAATTCTCTCTATGTTACCAACCAAGTTTCTTAAGCCAGAAGATTACTTGGATTTATATTTCATAACTTTCAAACACAAGTATCTAAAATGTTACTTTATAAAACACACATACGGCCCCTCCTTGAGTACTGTCCATTTATCCTAGACAGCACCTCTGTTAAGTACAAACTAAAGATTGAAAGTGTTCAAAGGAGATTTGCAAGTAGAATCTTAGGAATAAGTCTGAAAGTTCCCTACAACTATCGTTGCACAACTCTTAAGATCGAACCCCTTTGGTTCAGGCGCCACCGACTTAACCTCATTCTCCTATTTAAAATCCTCAAAGGAATAGTACACTTCCCCAATAATAACCTTAACTTTACTTCTTCGACGTATGAACTACGCAGCAACGGGTTTTCTCCAAGTCATATTCTTTGTCGAACGAAATCTCGTTCCAACTTCTTTACAGTCAAATATAGGCAAACATGGAACTTCTTGCCAAGTGAAATCAAGAATAGCACCACAATACAACGATTCACCTATCTGGTAAATAAATATTTCTCTGAAAACAGTCTTGAAAATTAGTGATATTGTTTCTTCCCCCTTTGACTTAAGTACCTAAACAGCTTTGTTCACCCAAAGCATCAACAGAAACGGTCAGTATTATCGGACATACTTAAAATAATCAACGTTGCACTAATGCTGTTCTCAGTTCCTTTTTTAGTTGGTTCAATTATTTGTCTAGCAAGCATCATCACAAAATATGCACAATCTTTTCATACAAACCTGGAGTGGAATACACAGCCTGACATACCACGAAAGCTGCACTGAATCTACATGAACTACCCTCACACCTTATGTCATACCTTTT